CCAGGATGTATTTTTTTGCATCAAAGAAGTAGCTCTTGGCAACAGGCTCGTTCCTCCGACCAGGAGAGGTTTTTAGCCAAACCCTGATTGTTCTAGACTGCACAGGGGAAGACAAGCCAGCAAACCTACAGTTAAATAGGAAAGAAAAAAAAGAAACCAAAACCATTACTGGCCCAAACAAACATCTGTCTGTGATTAAACTGGATGCACAGATACGTTGTGTCTTTTTTAAAGGATTTCTTTCTGCAGGAAGGGAGGGGAGAAGGGATGAAAAGGCTCCAGGGTGGTGCTGGGTCAGACCCAGCCCCCAGCCCAGACCTGTCACTGACACAGCAAAGCCAGAGCCTGTCCTCAAAACCCAGCTTTTCCCCCCAGAAGAAACTGCTGTCCTATTACTGACAAAAATACCCTTTTTTTCTATTAACAGGTAATTCCAGAACCTCTCCCCCAGCCCGGAAAGGGCAATGTTTGCCCAGTTGCCACACACATCCGCCTGACAGATTTAATGGGCTTTTTTTTTTTTTTTCCTACTCCTAACACACAGGATCTTCATAAATTTCCTTGTTAGCATAAATCCTGCAGCCTGTTATTTCTGGGGGGGAGAGGAAGGGAGACGTTCACTTTCTCCATTCAGTGGGTTTTAAAATATGCTTCCTTAAGTTCATCCTAAATATTGCTGGAAGCAGAAAAAACCCTCTGGCTCTCTCCTGGAGCCATGGCATCACCTCAGCAGGGCTGAGTCACCAGCTGGGATGGATGCTCCTGCCTTCTTTCTCCATTTGATGGTACAGAGACCCTGCTCCCCAAATCCAATGCTCCCAGCCCCACCACTGCCCTGCAAAAACTTCCCATGTCAAAAAGAAAAAAAAAATCAGAAATAATTTAAATAAGCTCCTGCCCATTCAGTCTCTGTTTTTTCTCTCTGTTAATTCTCAGCTTTCCCCCACCATCATCAGTCACCAAGCACAGCTCATCTCCATGTGGAGCTCAGCACCTTCTGGACATCAGCAGAGCTGCTGGGAATAAATTCAGATCCATGCTTCCACTCCCAGGTGGAAAACACCTTCCTGCTGCTCTGGAGCACGGACAGAACTCATCCCTCCTCCAACAAAGCACCAATTCAACATTTCTTCTTTAGGTTGCACATTTTCAGCTACACATGGGTTCACCAGAGCTGAAACTCTTGGAGAGTTTTAACACATGGAAAGTGATTTCAAAGTTTAAAAAAACCCCAAATAACTATTTTTGGAAAAAACAATCAGCACCTTCCCTGGGGATGGTCAAGTCAGCACAGAGACCTAAAGATGCAAGGCCACCTCTTGCTCTCCCACCTGCCCTCCCCTATTTAAAGCCACCACTAATAAGAAGTTTGCCCAACGCTCATCACGGTGCTTTTTCAACAGGAATGGGGCTATTCCATGGGTTTTAAGAAAAAGTCCTTCCCAGGGCCAGTGAGGGAGAGCCTGTGGGACTCAGAGGAAGGCAGGCAATCCCAAAGCCCATGGCAGCTGCTCCATCCCATCCCATCCCTGCAGAGAGGCTCAGCCCTCCACACGCCTGGCAAGTCTAACGGGTACAGCAGCTTCTTGGCATGTGCTGGAGGAGCCAAGTCTGAGGGGAAGGGGAAAAAAAAAAAAGGCAGGCAATCCCAAAGCCCACGGCAGCTGCTCCATCCCATCCCACCCCATCCCTGCAGAGAGGCTCAGCCCTCCACACGCCTGGCAAGTCTAACGGGTACAGCAGCTTCTTGGCATGTGCTGGAGGAGCCAAGTCTGAGGGGAAGGGGAAAAAAAAAAATTACTACAAATGTTCCACCAATTATGAGTCACGAGGCCGAGCTTTTGTTCCTGCCTTGCTGGATTTTGCCCTTTCCCTGGTATTTCCCCAGCCCCGGCCGGCAGCCGCGGGGACGCCAGGACTGGCCAAGGCTCTGCTGGCTCCCGGGGGACAGACAGGCTCAGCCCAGGCCAGGGACCCACCTGGGCTTAAAACACAGCCCCCAAACAGCAGTTCTGCTCAGCTCTGCTCCCCAGGCAGGAGTGAATGTAAGCAGGAAAAGATGGAGCTCCTGTTTGTGCTGAATGTGGCACTGCCTGAGCTCAGGAGGAGGAACCTGCAGGGTCAGACACCTCCAAGCACCTTTTCCCACCAACCCAGACCTTCCCAGGCATTGCACCTCACTGGGAAAGCAGGAGCACCCCCTCTTCCCATTCCTAGGGAAAAGCTGTGGCTGGACACTGACCCTTGCACAAACAACTTTGTTCCAAGACCTAAATGCTGTGAACAGGAGATGAAGAGGGCTCTGGGGTATCATCCATGGATCCAGGTCACATCCACCCAACCACCCACAGCTTGTGCTCCCCGTTAGTGCTAACTGTTCCTCTGAACTTCACAGTGAGCCTGCCACTTCTCTCAACAATTTCCCTCTTTTTAAGGGCAATATGTTAGCCATAGAAGGTTCTACTTCAAAAAAAAAAGGGTTATTTTTTTAAACTAATACATATGACAGAGATCATCTTTTGCCTTCATGCTAAAACCTCCTGTTTAGAAGTTCATCAAGTAAAGGAGAAATAGGAGAAGAATAGCTCTCTTTGTTACACAAAATTGAATTTTGTGGCTTTAGTAGGAAAAGCCTTTTTGATGATCAAAGCTGGAATAAATAGCAGTGGCTTGATGCTAGATCCAAAATGTACTTATTTTTGGAAGACAAGTTAAATGCACACTGAGTACACAAGAGGAGGCAGGGAGGACCACGTGCTTTGTGTATCACTCCCACAGACCTACACTTCAAGCAGAGCTACTAAATGAGTTGAAATAGAGAATAAACAAACTGAAATGTGGCAGGTAGACTGGAGCCTAAGTGGGTTTTTCCCTTGTACTTCCCCGTGATGACATGTATGGGTTAACTTCAGCAGGGCTCTTATCCTCTTTCAGCAATCGTGAGCACTGGGGAAAAATAAATCACCCAGCCCCAGACTCTTATTAAAAGTTACACCATTGGAAACAGCACAGGGGAGAGGAGGGATCTGGTTTCAGCACAATCTTGGTCACATGTTATCATTATATTGTTCAAGGAAAAGTTAAAATCTCTCTTCTTTCCAGCAAACCCACCAGATGTCCCATAAAGACTGAGCCATGAGGGAAGCTAAACCATTACACCGTCAGGAACCCCGCTTTTCCAACTTGGCTGCTGTAATTAATGCCAATTATCAAGTTAGAACAAAAGCCACGGGCACGGGGAGCTTTAGGGATGTGCATGCAGCCCTAGGACTGTTTGTTAGGAACTGCAAAGATATATTTATTAAAGCACAAGGCTCAATTATCCCAGTCCTGCAATCAATTGTTCCCCTGCCCTGGACACTTGGCAGCACAATAAAAGCCCCTGGGCCACCACAGGGACACCTGAAAGGACAAGGAGAAGGGAAAATCCCCACAGGGAAATGTGCCACCGTGTCAGGATACAGACCCCGTGCTGTTTGAACACCCTCTGGGGCTGGGATCAGCCTAAACATCCAGAGGAAAGCCCAAGTCTCACTAAACTTCTCACCAAACTGATCCTTCCTCTTGCAAGGAAAGAAAATGAAGAGAAACGCCACAGCCAAGGGACCAGTATTGGGATCAGCCTAAACATCCTGAGGAAAGCCCAAGTATCACTAAACTTCTCACCAAACTGATCATGAACTCTTGCAAGGAAAGAAAATGAAGAGAAACGCCACAGCCAAGGGACCAGTACCCCCAAGGTCCCCTCCAGCACCCCCTGGACTCACAGCATCCCCCAGGTGAGCAGCAGATCCCATCCCCATGCCCAGCAATCCAGCCAGGAGCCTCAGAGGTGTCCAAGCTGCTGAAGGAGGCATGTGGGGCTCCACCAAAACCCACGTTTGTCTGCCTTCATCCCAGCCCTCAGACCATGAACCAGGCAAAGAAATTAAACCTGGTCCTACAGCCAGGCCCGTCCTGTCCCACGGTCAGCCCCCAGCTGGGGTGAGACCAAGGACAGAGATGTGGGAAGGACAGCCCCAGCTCTCCTGCTGTCAGGCAAAACCACCCCCGGCCCTGCAGAGCCCCATTAAGCGAATGAAAGGTTGCAGGGTGGGGCAGAGCAAAAACCAGGACCTAATTAAGCCGAGCTTTGTTCAGGATCTTCAATGGCTCCGTAGCTGGGAGCCTGCTCATGAAAGCAGGGACTGCAGCCTGGGGCCAGGGCCCAACAGGTAACACCAGCCCGACGGTCCCGGCAAGAACCTCCCAGAGCAGCAGCTCTGGAAGGGCCCTGCTGCCCTGCCATGGCAATGGGGAGAGCCCAGGCCCAGCCCCACAGCAGCCATGGCCCCAAGGAAGCCCTAACAGCCCTGCCATGGCAATGGGGAGAGCCCAGACACGGCCCCACAGCAGCTCTGAACGGCCCTGCTGCCCTGCCATGGCAATGGGGAGAGCCCAGACACGGCCCCACAGCAGCTCTGAACAGCCCCAGTGCTCTGCCATGGCAATGGGGAGAGCCCAGGCCCAGCCCCACAGCAGCTCTGAACAGCCCTGCCATGGAAATGGGGAGGGTCCAGAGCCCAGCCCCACAGCAGCCATGGCCCCACAGCAGCCCTAACAGCCCTGCCATGGCAATGGGGAGAGCCCAGGCCCAGCCCCACAGCAGCCATGGCCCCACAGCAGCTCTGAACGGCCCTGCATGGAAATGGGGAGAGCCCAGACACGGCCCCACAGCAGCCATGGCCCCGCAGCCTGGGATCCATGCTGGGGCCTCCACACAGGACACCGTGGCCCTGTGGTCACCTCCACACGTCCCTGCTCACCCCACAAACAGCATCTTATCTCAACATGCAGAGCACAGACTTCTGTGAAAAAAACAACTCAAATAACTGTTCTTTTTGTCCTTCTCTTCACACCCAGAGCACAAACCAGGAGCAGGATCAGGATCCCATCCCCTCCTGGTGTCCCACCCCACCACCAGCCCCCCACGGCAGGGAAAGGCACCAACAGCTGCCAACCTGAGAAATCTCCGGGCGTGACGTTGGGAGAGTTTGTAGCCTCTGTTTCAGTGTAAGACAACGTGGAATCTGATAGATCTGAGGGGAAAAAAAGGGAAAAAAAAGCACTTTTAGTCCTGCTGCGTTTGCCAGCACTACGTGAGCACCCGTGGCTGCTGGGCTTCCCACCACCTCCCCAAGAGAAACTCTCCTCAGAGCCAGAAAGCAGCCATTAACTTTGTAGCTCCACCACGCAAATGCAAAGTTTGAATTGCCTCGACCACAAAAATAACTCCAGTTAAGTTGATCAAACAAGTAGGAACTTGGTGCTTACTGGATAAAGTTACATTAAGCCTCTAAACAAGTCAGAGTTACTATACTTAATTATCACCATTAAAATTCTTGAAGCTGTTTATTCTTGCTTCCTTCCTTCCTCTTTGCTGAAGCGAAGGAAACTTTGTTTTAACAAGTTAAGAGTCTTTGTTATTCTCTCTTGCTTACACCCCTCTAATTAAGTGCTCAACTGTTTGCTCACAGATTAACTATTATTTTTCCAATCAAACAAGCCAGTGAAGCAAATTTCAACCCCTGGCTGTTGTTTTAATAAAGTCACGTGTCGCCCACTATCATCTCTCCCTGCAGCACAAGCAGTTTCTAAAAGGAATTAACTTGGAAGGGGGAGTGCAGGGAGGGACAACTCCTCTTTTTTGCCTCCATACCTAACAAAAAAAAAAGAAAAAAAAGCCACCAGCAGCCAAGTTGGCCTTGCAGGCTGCTCTGGTCACAGCCCTGTGGCGATGAAGGCGCCGGGCACGGGGTGCACACATGGCTGAGCTGCTCCCAGGCCTGGCAGGGCAGGGGCTCACCTTGGCAGGGGCAGCTCCTGCCTTCCCCCGGGGCTGGGTGGGACAGGCAGGCACTGCTGTCCCCTCCTATCCCTGCCAAACCCCGTTGGTCTGCTCCCTGTCCCTGCCCCATGGCAGCAAAAGCAGCTCCCCCTGGTCATTAACGCCGGTAAATCACTGAGCACGGGATAAAGGGAGAAAGGCTCCAGCTGCACTGATCCCAGCAAGAAATCCAAGAGGGATGTGGGATTCCTCCCTTCCCTCCCATGCTCCCAGGTCTCTGCTTCCCATTTAATTGCACAAGAAGCAGGATGGCGAGGATGCAGCGATGCCAGCTCAAAACATCTCCAGGCCCACGTGCAGCACACAGGAGCAGGATCCAAGGCTGCCAGCACCCAGCATCCTGCACTCCACACCCAGCCTGGCCAGCCCAAAGCTGCTCTCACCCACTCTGCTTGGAAAACCTTTTACAACTCCCCAGGAAAAGTGACACCCCGCTCAGAAATGACACAGCTCCGAGTTCCAAAGGCTTTCCATCTCTTTGTAAGGAGCAGAGGAAGGGTAATAGCTGGTTCCTCCATGGAGCAGCACAGCCTGGCCCGTATGGAAATGGCACCCAGGAGCTCCCACTCCCGCAGATTACACACGCAGACAAAACATGACGTCTGGTAACCTTTCATTACGCCTTCATTAAAAATAGAGCTTCATATTATTTTGGAAAATATGCATGTGTCTACACGGTAATTTGGTAGGATAAACTGGCATCCATTTACTTCTTAAAATCCGTCAGCTGATGCTTGCTCAGAAATAATGAGCAGCCATAAAACCCCGACTTGTTGGCTTTTGCCTGGCGTGCCAGGTAGGGCTGCCTCAGAACCAGCACCAGGGCTGCACCATGAAAGAGCTCCCCAGAGATCAAAAGAGACAAAACACGTACCCAGTGGCTTTTGCTCGTCATTAGGAGACAGCCGAGAGTAGGGAGGTGGTGGAGACTCTGGAAAAACAAAACTTCAGGTTAGTGCTGTCTTCGGTTTATCAACAACCCCTCTCGCTTTCTCTTTTGGGGTAGGAACTCTTCCAAGGTTATAAACACCCAGTGGAAAACAAAACACTTGGAAGCAACTGGAGACCAAGGTTTCCCTAATTTTTGAACAATGGGAGTTCCACCTTGAACTTTCAAAGGGGGCTTGGCTACTGAAAATGCTGCACTCCTGCGCCCCACATCTGTGCCTGGACACCCACAGACTGAGTCACACAAAACATCAAACTGCTCCCCAGGAGCCCCATTTCCGTCATCTGCACTGGGAGACAACCTTACAACACACAGGGTTCCCCAAACACTTCCCAAGCACTGAGAAGGACTGGGTGATGAGAAGGCTCCTCCACTGGGAGACAACCTTACAACACACAGGGCTCCCCAAACACTTCCCAAGCACTGAGAAGAAGGACTGGGTGATGAGAAGGCTCCTCTTGGCACACAGGGCTGGCACCCCTGGCTGGCTTCAGGCACCAAGCCATCCCAGTAACTTCAGTCCATCCCAAAAGGCCTCGGCACTTTGTGGCTCAGGAGCAGTGACCCTGATCCTGAATCCATCCCACATTGCTCCTGAGCTCAGCTCTGAGCAGCAGCACTGAGCAGTCCTGTGCTCCATGTCCAGCAAGCGCTCAGAGGTGCTTTGCTGGACCAGGTCATTCAACCAGGTCTCACTGTTCCTAGAAGGGTCAACACCACGGGGAAACTCCACGCCCTGATTACAAGGGTTTCTTTGCCTTTTTCATAGTATGACAGTGATGTTTCTTCAATGGTAACTTGCCAAAACTGAGTGTGCAGCCTGCTGGGCTGTATCAGCGTTCAGCAGGCACCGACTCCAGTGAGAAATTGCTCTATGAAGTCCACCAGTGGCACCACACCAGCCCCAGAGCAGGGAAACACGGGAGTGCTCCTCAGCCCCCACCCGGACCTGAGAGCACCCAGCCAGAACTGCAGCTCAGCCCGGCTGGGCTCCCCAAAAAGCACCTCAGCATCCCCCGTGTGACAGCTCTGGGGTCATCTACTGCTTCTCAGAAAAGCTTCCCCACTCCTCCTAAGGGTGCTTTTCTCACAGGGTGCTTACAGATCCCAAAATATAAAAAAAAATAAAGGTGCTGCTGTCCCCATGTGGAGGTAACAGCAGGACGTGGCTGTGCTGGTCCCACTCCAGACCTGCTGTCACCAGGGACTCGTTGGAAGCACCCCAGAACTTTCACACCCCACGGCAAATGGGGTGGGAAACACCAAGAGGATGATCCCTGCAGGGAGCCACTTGTGGAAAAAGGGCATCAAGGCCTTCTCCCGGCTCCTGTTACCAGCGCCCAGCCGGCGCGGGTGGGTCCTGGCACAGTCACCCGTTATCAAGGTGATAAGGAGCCACTTGATAACAGCTCTGCTTTCTACTACTCCCAGTGAGGGCTGGCAGCCGCTCACCGCTGGGAAAGCCACCACGGCTGCGGGAAAGGCACTGGGAAACTTCTCCCGTTTCATGAAAGAAATGCCCCGTTCCTAAAAACGCAGCTCAACTCCAACTGGAGTAAAAAAGCTGCCTCCAGCCTCTAGCGACCTTGGGGAGAAGCACGCCCAGAAGAGAAGTTTCTTTGAAAGAAGTGATGCAAAGTGAGGCAGGAGCCCAGATTGCAACAGAAATAATAAAATCAGAGTTCTTGCCAAAAAGAGGGACAGTCAGCATAGAATCATAGGATGGTTTGGGTGGGAAGGGACCTTAAAAATCATCTCGTTCCAGCTCTGCCATTGGGAGTGACACCTTCCACTGTCCCAGGCTGCTCCAAGTCCCATCCAACCTGGCCTGGGTCAGTCCCAGGGATTCAGGGGCAGCCCCAGCTTCTCTGGGCACCCTGTGCCAGGGCTCCACTACCCTCCCAGGACAACCTGACCTGGGTCAGTCCCAGGGATTCAGGGGCACCCAGCTTCTCTGGGAACCCTGTGCCAGGGCTCCACTACCCTCCCAGGGAAGAATTCCTTCCCAATATCCCATCTAACCCTGCCCTCTGGCAGTGGGAATCCAGCTGTCCATTTTCATTACAGTTTTTGTGCAGCCTATTATTTCCATTTCTGCACCTCAAATTTCAACACGTCTCTGCTCCATGCAACCATGCCCTGCTGACATGGACACACGATCGAGTACTGCTGAAAGAAACAAAAAACCCTCAGCATGCCCAAACCCACGCCTTGAAAACGCTCATCTCTGCGCACGATTAAAAACCCCAAAAAAAAAATTAAAAAAAAAAAAAAGAAAAAAAAAAAAGAAAAAAAAAAAACCCTGGAGAATTGCAGGAGCCCCCGCGGGTCCGGGGATCCCCGCGGCGGGGACATCCCCGCAGCCCCCCCGAAGCGCCTGCGGCTTTAAGCCGGCGGCGGTGACCGCCCGGCTCCGATACGAGCGAGCCAGGCTGGCGCCAGCGGGATGGAGCCGCCGATTATCGCCCGTCCGGCTCCCGGAGAGCGGGGAAACTCCGCGGGAAGGGGAAAAAACCAATAAAGAGAAAGGGCTTTTTACGCACAACTGGAAGCGCTGGCTCCGAGAGAGGGGGGATGCCCGGCGGGGACCCCGGAGCGGGCGCGTCCCCCCGGGCATCCCCGCGGGCCCGGGGCAGCGCTGCCCACGAGGGCTCGGATACACCCAGCACGGGGTCACAAAGCCCGAACCCCCAAATCGGTGCGTGTTTGCGGCGGGGAGGGGGGCACGGACCCGGCTCGCCGCGGCTCACCTGGCCCACAGAGGCGGCTGAAGTGGTAGGGGTTGCAGCAGACCGTGGGTCCGTCGGCGACGCCGAAGCTCTGGCACTCGCAGAGGGGCTTCAGCTCGGCGGGGTGCTGCAGGTCGGGCCAGCGGAACAGCTTGCCCAGGAGGAGGTGCGGGGGCGCCGCCAGGCCCCCCAGGCGCACCTCGGTGCGGGCCACCAGGACGCAGCCGCCGGGCATCCCCCCGCGGGACTCCACCGCCTCCAGCAGGCTGTCCAGCGAGCGCTCCTTCAGCCGCTTCAGCAGCGAGTAGGTGACGGCCTTCAGCTCCTGCTCCAGCAGCAGCAGCCGCGCCCGCGCCTCCCGGCCCCGATCCGCCATGGGGTCCCCGCGCGGCGCCGCCTCGCCCGCCGCCCCGCGCCGCTCCTCCGGCTCCCGCAGCAGCAGGCTGCGCGCTACCGCGCGGAGCTCCACCGAGGGGCTTTTCTCCGCGATCTTGCAGCTGCCGGTGGCTCCGAGGTCGTGGCCGCTCCTGGCGCTCCCATCTCCGCCGTCCCTGTCCGGAATGACGCGGCTCCTCCAAAGTCGCCGCACCAGCCCTGAGCGTTTGGACCTGAACATACGACCCGCGGGCGGCCGGGGGTCGCGTCGCTCTCCGCCGCCCCCCGCCCTCCTCCGCGGGGCTCCTCGCTCCGCCGCCGGCTCTATCTCATCGCAGCCCCGGAGCAGCCCGGACTCCCCGCGGCGCTGCTGCCCAGCGGATCTCGGACGGCCCGCGGCGGGGCCGCACCATGGGGGGGGCGGCGGGGCGGCGCGGGCATAGACGGCGCCGCGGGGGCCGCTCCC